ACCTGGTTTAGTTTGAGTTGATTTGTTTGTTGGATGATTGGCTGGTTGGTTGTTGGTTGATTGGTTGGTCTGATTCCTCGGTCAATAGGTTGATTGATTGGTTGTTTGCTTGGTTGGTTGGTCGCCAGACTCCTCAGTTGATTGCTTTTTGGTTCAACTCCTCGGTAGGTTGATTGTTGATCAGACTGACCGGTTACCCGACTCCTCGATTCGTTGCGGGTTGTTCCGACTGCTCGGTTGATAGGTTGATTAGTTGAAATCAGACCGCCCAGTAGGTTGCTTGATGATTAGACTCTCCTCACCTCCAATCCGGTCCTTTTATATCCCAGACATTTGTAAGGAGGAGCTTGCCATGAACGGAATTCCCATGCAAGGATAAGGAAATGGTTCACCAAAAAATGGTAATTCACGTGACAAGGAACACACTCGTGAGAAGAAACGGTTCTATAATCTTAAGGCGGCTAAACATGATGGGAACGATTAGACTAGATATTTGGAGCAAAAATAATTGAGATAAAGATTAAAGTGCGAGTTAAGTTTGAGAATGTGAAAATTAACGGAAACACTGCAAATGATGAATCATTAAGAAGAAATCTTTAGTATAATTATTTGGTTTGGCTATGTGATAAATATTGGATTGAAATTAATTTCGAGAAGTTTCGAGTTTGTTCTCGACACTCCTGAGGGAGGAGAGCAAATATTCTAAGGGAATGATTTAGGGTCTATAATAGAACATTTTGATTTATTCCTTTTTTGTAAGTTTGTCTGGCTCGGTGTTCGATGAGCAACAGGTTGGTCGTCGCCACTTTCACTCGGAATCTTCCTATTACTTGTAGTGTTCCGAATTTGGATAACTGGTTCTGAGCTCTCTGATTAGTTCACGGGGTTCCCTGAATAGATTGTTCTTCTGGGGAAACTTCGAATGGATACAACATGTTTACTGGTCTACTTAGAAGTTTTCCTGATGGTGTTTCGGTCTGAGGGCTCCTGACATACCCATCGTTGGCTACGTTTAATTTCTTTATTCTTGCTGATTTCCAGGTACCGCGTGGTGCATGATGCTCATCTGACAGTACCACTTTTCCTATTGGCTCTCTCTTCGCTACATTTCTCGGAGACTTATGTTCTAATTGGTGTCGATCCTTTAAGCTATTTAAGTACTGATCCTTCCATATCTCCCAAAATACATTTAATGTTTCTAATGTGCTCGACCAATGTTTAAGTAGTCTTTCTTGCGTGGTTGGTTTATGAAGTGTGAATTCGTCTTCATTGTCGTTATTGCCATTTGGTATAAACAAGGAAGCATTGGGTAAAATGAAGTCTATTGGTCGTAAGATAATTGAGTCATCGTAAGTCAAGGGGCGCATATTAAGAGTACTTTCTACTTCGATAATTAATGTAATTAATTCCCCTTCCTTAAGCAGTCGTCTACCAATAGCTCTTCTTAAACTCTTCTTTGTTAGGCCGATTAGTCTTTCGTAGATTCCACCGCTCTATGGTGCTTTCGGTGTTATAGTCTTGCATTTGATTCCTTCCTTAGCAAGGAAATCAGATAGCTGTGATTCTTGCGTTTTTATAGCTTGAAAAACTGCCTGAAATTGGGTGGCATTGTCCGAAAGAATGAGTTCGGGATAGCCGCGTCGTGCAACGAATCTTCTTGATGCAGTTAGAAAGCTTTCCGCTGATAGATCGTCTACCATTCCCAAATGTACCGCTCTGGTGGTGAAGTATGTGAACAAAGCGATCCATCGCTTTGCTCTCTCGAATTGTATCTTCACAGTAACCGGCCCCAAGTAGTCAAGGCCAATTCGTCCAAGCGTTCTTGATTTAGTGATCCGCTGTTGCGGATAATTTGGCATAAGCGGTAATTTGAATGGCTTGGCCTTCCATTGTTTGCACATCATACAGCGGTTCAAAGCCTTCTTGATTTCAGCCCTTCCTTTTGGAATCCAATAAAGCTTTCTCATTCTGAAGATAGTTTGAGGGATACCTCCATGGTGGGTCGCTTCGTGATGTTGAATAATTAGTTCTGTTATTCGATTGTGTCTGAAGAGATATATTGTTTGAGATGTGTATTCCCCGTTGTTCGGCAATTATAGTCTGCTTTGGAATCTCCAGTACCCATCTGCATAGTGCAGATTGTACCTTTTCACTTCTGCTGATATACCTTCTGATTGGGATTGTTTTATTAGTAATTCCACAGCAAGATTATAATCCTCTGGTGTAATCAGATTTCTTTCTGATATACTACTTAACCAAGTTAATTTTCCCCTAGATAATTTTTTGAGAAATTTTAATATTCTTACCGTTGTTCTTGTTATCTTCGTCCATTTGCTAAAGCGATTTGCCTCCACGAGATTGACTCGTCTTGTTTCTTCGGTGTTTGTTGTTGCTACCATATTCTCATCTTCATCGTTGTCCTCTTCTTGCGGAACGTTGGTAGTGCTGGCGCAAACTATTTTTGAGGACAATCGTGATTCTTTGTATAACCAGATCCAGCCATATTCTTGTAATGTATTGGTTTTAATTTTTGTAATTGTATTGGTTTTAATTTTTATGTTCTTGTAATTGTATTGGTTTTAATTTTTATTGCAATCAAACTCAAATTAGGATTAATTAGAGGTTTATTTAGATCTAAAAATTCCATTAGGAGGGAGCATCTAATAATAAGAGAAACTAGACCTCTTCTCACAACTCTTCCTACAAGAGAAACTAGTATTCCAGAGGAGGAAAATTTTCAATCAGTGGTAGAAACTTTTAAACCTCTGGTTTGTGAATCTTATTGTATCTCTCCAAAAGCTTCAATCTCCCTCCCTCGGGAATGTCGCGA